GTACACGGAAAAAAATGATGTTGCAAAGATAAATACTAAACGATTAATTTTATACTCATCCTTGAATTTGAGTAGTAAGTTGGAATGTGGAATCGTACAATATATGAAATAAACAACACAAGCTAACGTATCAAATTTATCAGTTAATTGAAATACAATTATAATATAATTTTAAACAGCATATAATCAAGAAAATAAAACAATTAGTTAATAACAACGTTGAATATATAGGGTTGAGTACTTTTCAAAGAATGCAATATACTCTTTCAAACTACGAGTAACGGGTATTATAATGTGAGGAATTGGAATCTACATGAATCTTTTGACAAAATACAACATAAAAATCATCGATTTTTCTTCCAAGTGCATGCCTTTTATTACCCCCTCTTGCGCTCTGTGTGTGTGGCATTAGAGTTGTTTTTTTTTTAGGTTTTAATATTCGTGCTACCGTTAGAATCAACAGCGAAGAGTGGTACAGCAAATACGAGGAAAGGAGTAGGGAAATGCCAAGGGGGCGGCGTCAAAGTTGACGCTTCGCCAGCGCCGGCGTCTCTTTGGTAAAACATTAATTAAATTAATTAACCAACTCGTGCCAAGAATTTCATACCGAAGGAGATGAGCAACAAACCAAAAAAGAACATATCTATGTACGTTCAGTCGTATATATATTCCAGACATCGCTTTGGAACGCATAATTAATGCGCTCAGTGCGCAGAACCAGATTAAAGTGAGCCTTGCTCAGATATACACACACTCTCAGCTACAGACAGATAAACATATATATATATACATATATCGCTACATATAGCACCATCCATAGGTGGTTGCTGCCAAGTCAGTCATCTGTGGTAAAAGATCGGATCCCTCTTCCGGCAATTGAAAATGATTCTTTCAATTAAATTATGCCGAGCTGAGTGGGTTTTACTTTTAATGCTACTTTTCCCGGAATAAATGGCTTTTATGATTTATTAAAAGGTTGCAATGTGGGCAATTTCAAGTGAAACAAGGCTGGCTTATATTATTATCTTTTAAATACACTGTTTTGTAACTTGTCCCACATACATTGTTATACTGTATCTTTGTAGCAGAATTATTACAAATAAAGATATTACAAATAAAAAATTATAATTTTATGCAAGCCACCTGTTTCACAGGTGTTTTAAGAAGCTTTTTTTAACCTTAAGTTCAAACGTCTTAAAATCACCGAAAAATTTAAAACTTTATTGACTAATGTAATCCGTTTTCACATTTGATTAATCCCATTTTTAATTCACCCGAATTGAACCAATTTTTCTGGGCCTTTTCTTCGCAGCTTCTTCGCATCTTGAGGGCCACGCCGATTAATCTTAGCCAACTCGAAGATGCCTCTGAATAGGTTTTCCATATCCGTTAGCAGTTTGGAATGTGAAACCCTTACAAAAAAAAGACGACACGTGCCAAGCGAACAACACAGTCAGCGAGACATCAATCAATTGCGCTGATTGAATGCATTCGAAACCGAAACCTCAAATAAAAATAAAGAAAGGGGGAGCTACGAAAGTAAATAACACAAAACCAAAAAAAAAAAAAAAAAAAACACACATGAAAGGCAGCCTCCAACAAAGTGTGAAGTTGGAAATAAAGTGGCGCTTAATTGCGAGCGATTAATGAAGCAAGAATCCCCATTCCCAATATCCAATGCCCAATTTCGGGGCGCCCAGGGCAATTTTTTCTAGTGTAGCCGCACCGCTGTCGTCGCCTGTGTCAGGTGTCATGTGTCAAGTGTCAGGTGTCAAGGCAAGGGGCAAAAGTTTAACGGTTCCCCAAGCCACCAATCAACACAAGAAACAAAAAAATCACCAAATGAAAAACGAAACAATCCAAAAAGTTTACAACAAAATTAACACGAAAATCGCCGACAGCCAAGTGGCCAACGAACTCCAATCCATTGGCAATTGGAAGGTCGGCTTCGTCATGAAAAATATATATACATACATCGATATATGGCCACCGAAATAAACTAAAACAAGAAAGGAAAGCTAACTTCGGGCGGAGCCGAAGTTGATATACCCTTGCAGAATACTCTGTAAATTATATTCTCCAAAATTATTCATATGATGCATTCTTAATACTCATAAAAAATCCCAACTTCCTAACTTTAAAAACACCAAAGTTATGACATTTCCAATCGTTCAGTTATATGGCAGCTATAGGATATAATCGGCCGATCCTTATGAAATTCGGCATGTCGGATTGATTAGCCAAATATAAAACCCATAGAAAATCCCAACATTCTAACTTTACAAACACCAAAGTTATGGCATTTCCGATCAATCAGTTATATGGAAGCTATAGGATATAGTCGGCCGATCCTTATGAAATTCGGCATGTCGGATTGATTAGCCAAATACAAAACCCATAGAAAATCCCAACTTCCTAACTTTACAAACACCAAAGTTATGGCATTTCCGATCGTTCAGTTATATGGCAGCTATAGGATATAGTCGGCCGATCCCGGCCGTTCCGACTTATATACTGCGTGCAAAGGAAAGAAGGGTGTGTGCAAAGTTTCAATTCGATATCTTTAAAACTGAGAGACTAGTTCGCGTAGAAACAGACAGACGGACAGACAGACGGACAGACGGACAGAGGACGGACAGACGGACAGACGGACAGACGGACAGACGGACAGACGGACAGACGGACATGGCTATATCAACTCAGGAGGTGATCCTGATCAAGAATATATATACTTTATAGGGTCGGAGATGTCTCCTTCACTGCGTTGCACACTTTTGACCAAAATTATAATACCCTCTGCAAGGGTATAACAAAGGGCAATATCAAGTGCAATAAACCATAAACTGATGGAATCCCAAATTGAATATAACTATTGAAGAAAATTGCAAAAAATATATATATGTTCAGGCGGAAAACAAAATGTGCGCAAAAATATTGTTACGCAAAAACGACTATCGGCATACCCTGGAAATCAGAAATGTCTTGTCTTCTCACATCTTTTCACTGAGCTGGAGATCATTTTTGTCATGGGACTATTTTTGATTCGATCATGTCACGATCTTCGTTGTGGGATTTCGATAAGCTTAAGCTTTTAACATGAGGATATGGAAGATATCTTTGATCTTTGTTCGGACGTTGCTCATGTTTATTTCCATTTGACATGTCATTCTTATACCTTTTATAAATCCTATAATTGTGAACGTTGGGGGTTTCTGGGAATATTGCACTGATCCTAACCCTTGATACCCTTTCGTCACAAAAAAAATGGCACAATGTGCGCATATTGATTGTCTCTTTCTGCTTCCGATTCTACATTTCGGATTCTCCAATTCTCCGATTCTCCGTGACACAATTTCAAAATAAGGGGGCGGGGAGGGAGGGCGGCGGAAGTATCAGACTTTGTCGCCCATCGATTAATATGGATAACGACAGCACTTGCCGCAAATGGTGTGCCAACTTCCGATCATATGTACGTCTATATAAAAATCGAAAAAAAGCAGGCGAGAAGAAGAACCCAAACCATAAATCAGAGGAGCGTATGTTGACAACACTGGCAGCATGACAATTGCCACCTGCTGGGCTGAAAGGAAATCCCATTAATGACAAAATCAATAAATTCATATTTCCATCACAAGCAGACATCACAGAAAATAAACAAACCGAAAAAATGTACACAAAACCGAACGATTCAGGCAGACAGAATGCCGTTAAACCTGCGTTTTAAATACAATATTAAATTAAGAGGACCCCCAATTCCCCGCAACAGAGGGACAGAAATCTAATAATTAAATGGATTCTTCAAGAGCGCACACAAAACTCAACGGGGGAGACGGCAGGGCGAGAATTAAATTGATTTGCCAGATAAATCAAGAAGTGGTCACCACAAGAAGGTCTCCCAAGAAAACAGAAACCAATGCTTGGATAAAGAATTCAACAACTTTGTTAACCGATTATAAAAGCTTGGATTAGAGGGGGATAAAATCTTGAGATTAAAAACTTGAGATCAAAATACACTACTTTTGAATAGAAAGGAATTGTCTACAATATATGGATTATAAGTCAGGAAATAAATTGCGTTCACAGGCCTTAGAAATAAACCTTTGAAATGTATTCCTTTTAAACGAATTCTTATACTATTTTATTTCGTACTTATTAAAAAAATATTTTTTAATCTGACTTCAAATCAATTAAATAAAAACCATTGCTGCTGCATTCGAACGGATTATGCAATCACAATCTGCCGAGTGTTTTATTCCGGAAAAGTCAATCACTCAATCACTCAATCGGCGATTGAAGGAAACCAAACAGTTGGCAGTCTGCAGATTGCCGTTGCATTAATCACCCAAAGTTATGCAGGCAAATCAGAACCAATCGATCGGATCGCACTCATCATAATTATCGATGATAGCTCGTCTCGTCTCGACTCAACTCAACTCAACTCAAATCCAACGTGTCATGTCAAGTTCCCCGCCATCCCCATTCGCCTCTCTTCCTTTTGCCTAATTGAAATAATGCCGCCCCGTAATTGAATCAATTAAATCGGCAGCAAATCAGCGCCAGTGCGGAATGAATAATGCCCAAGAAGCTGATCTATGAGTTTCATCTTTAAAAATAAAGAACAATTTATTAAAGGGTTGAGACTTTCATTTGAAAAAATTTAAAATATTTAAAAATTTAACAAATGATAGTCAGATAGGATTGGAATAATAAATGTGAGAACATAAGCATAAACTAATATACAGTTTTAAACGTTCGATAAATATTTTTTATAATAATAGTTATAATATTTTATAATAATATAGCCCCTTTTAAAGTTTCCATTTATTTTATTTAATTCAAAATTGTTTAATTAACAAAGGCTATAATAAAACTAATTGAACCGTTCCATTTAGGATACAAAAGTCCCCGAAGTCCAAAGTCACGACCCAGAATGTGAGTCATGCGACCTCAGCAAACTGCTTGCCAGCTGTCTGGGGGTCTGTAATTATTTTGGTATTTGCCGCAGTTAGAAATGAATCGAAGCCGAGACACACTGACGCACAGAGATAGACACTGGCAGATTGGATCGGAGACACAGGAAGACCGGAGATACAGGTACAACTTGGGATCGCGATAAATTCGTGGGTAGTGGATGGAGCTGGCCAGGATTCGGATCCACCAGTGGCTGTTGCTGCTCCACCTTGTCGTTGTCGCGTCTGCTGGAAGTCACGCAAATTGCATGGAGTGTAAGCAGGTCAAGAATAAAGTCCCAGAGCGATGTAGATATTTGCTGGAGGAGGATCTGGTCTTTGAGCGGAGGTGTGGCGGCACCTATCCACTGTTGGCCTTCACCAAGTTTCGGGATACGTTCGTCAAGACCGGAGAACCGTTCTCCCTCTATATGCCCTATACCCTGGATCATGTCATGGTGGTGATGAAGGACTCGGCCCTGCAGAATTGCGCTCGCTTTCAGCTCTCAGATGTGGCCACGTTCTTTTGCCTGGACGATAATACAAATGAAACCATCAAGCTGGAGGTGGCCCACATGTACTGCTTCCCATTTCACATCCAGCTGCCGGATGACTTGATGCAGGAGTGCCTGGCGGAGAACAAGATGGGCAAGAGGTATCTGGACGATGTCCTCCGCGCCCGACGTGGCGTTATCCACTATACCTTCGGCGATAGTCGCGGCCATCGGCTTATTTCTGGATATTTCTGCCCGCTTTTGCTGCTCCTTCTGCTGATGATGAGTCGTAAATTTTTATGCGAACTGCTGCCATAAAGATTGATCGGTTAAGCCAAAGGGGATAGCATTAAAACCAAAAATTGCTAAAACAAAAAAAAAAAACAAAAAATGGGAAGAGTAGAGTGAAGTAAAGTAAATATATATGGATTTTGAGCCTTATCGCTGGCCTTGCTCCTGGCCATCTCCTCCGCCCCGCGGGCCCTTGTTGAGTATTTATTTTATGGCAAAACAAATTAAACTATATTAACGCATTGTTTGTTTTCTTGGGGGAATGGAGGGGCATGCTTCGGGGCTCCCATGCATCATCTCACCCTTATCCACCCTGAACTTCTTCCGCTTCTCAGGTACTTATTTTGGAGGAAAAGCTCTTGCTGAGTTGTTAAGTCTATTGTTGATTAGTTTTCTTTCTTTTTTTTATTGTGGGTATACACAAAAAAAATCGCTATGTTTTGGTTACAATACAATTTATCATAGAAAAAGAAATAACATTATATGATTGAATTGATAACAAGTATTTTAAGTCTCTTTGCCACAATTGTGGCTAACAAAATGTAGACTGCTCTTATTTTTTGCTTATTTCTTCTTTTTTTTTGCACCCTGCTTGGTAAGTATTTAACTTCGATCTGCAATCTCCCTGCGGATTTGCCCACATCACGTTGCAGCTCGTGATCCGAGGAGCGGTCACCTGCGGCTGGCTGGCGTGCGTACTCGCCAAATTTCCATCCACATTGCAAAACCTAATTCGCGATTGCCGATCCGCAATCCGCAATCCGCGATCCGCGATTATTCGCATCCAAATCTCGGGTCTCGGGTCTCTGGTCCCCATTCATCCGGTCGTTTGTAGTCGCGTCTAGCGGTTTCCCCCGACTGCAAGGAAAAGCCTTGGCTCGACCAACGACCAAATTGTCAACGCGGCGATCTGAATGCAGAACATCAGCATCAGATATATTCGAGTACTCCAGTTCGATCGCTCTGCTCCGATTTGCATTTTGGGCATTGGCCCGGGTTAAGGAGAATCAGAGGTTTCAGCAAGAGTTGTTTTGTTGCACAAATGCCGTTGTCCGCACAGTGCAAACCAATTCGCAATTATTTATTGTACAAATATCTCACGTTTTAAGTTCTGAAAAAATAAAAATGTGTTTTGTAAATATTTAGTAATTATAAAAAAAATAATATTTATATTATTTACATTTCCGACCCTATAAAGCATATATATTCTTGAACATCATCACCAGTATCGAATATCTAGGGATGTCTGTCTTTTTGTCCATTTCTAAACAAACCAGTCTCCCAGTTTTAAAGCTTTTCAAACGTTCCTTCTTTCTATTGTAGATAGTTTATAAGTTGGATCGGATGACTAAAAAGATTAAAGGAGTGTTATGCAATTTAATAAATATGAACTTTCTGATTAATTAATACATTTTATATTTACTTTTAACTTCATTAAAAAGAGATATTTTCTTTATTTCACTTGTGTCCCACTGTGAAAGAATAAAAAAAAAAACAAGAATTGTTTTACCCACACGCAAGTGGTTTTTCTTCTACTTGCCGTGGTTTCGGTTGTTTTGAATTTTCTTCTGGTATTAATAGGAATTTTCAATTGATTTTCAGTTTCGATTGACCGCACCGCAATTGTCACGTGTTGGGGCCCCTCCCTGCTTCTCCCCCCTTTTCCCAACCTTTTCCCCGTACCTTTCTCCGTACACCCCCTTTCGCACATCGGATCCCTTGCCCCATCAACTCATTACGCATCTGGCACACTTGAGTTCAATCAAATGCCAAATGCTGCAGCAGGTGAGGTCTTTCCCCGGCCTCTTGCATTTTCTGTTTCTCGAAGATAATTGCGCAAAAGCTTTGGAAAGATCTGTCCGGCCATTTGCATAAATTTCCCTTGCAAAAGGAGAAAAGGCTGGGGAAAAGGGGGACCACACAACCTGAGATTCTGCGGAGAAAGACTGCGGAGACCTGACTTCATCCTCCACACGGAAAACAATCGGCACACATTTTTGTTAGCCCAATATTGCTTTCTTCAAATGTATAACAGTTTTTAAATAGTCTTTTACATTTTTGTTTACTCCTTACTTAAAGAATCCTTTATGGTCACTAAGTAAATAGCCTCAAGAATGTCCAGAGGTAAAATTATTGATAATTAAATGATCACAAAAATAGTGTGATAGTTTGAACAATGACTTTTGGATTTTCAGAAACAATTATCATTATTTTAAGGGTCAAAGCGAAACTTTTTATTATCGAGTTCATATTTTTAAAGGTACCGACTTGTACAGATATCATCAAAAAGGCGACCGATTCTAAATACTGTTATCAAAAATACATATTAACGTAAAGGAGCATTAAAGTATGCTATTATTAAGCTAAGAGTTCCCTGCTTTTTTTCTGTGCAGCCATATGGTTGGCCAGTGGCTAACCATGTCATAAACAGTGATTAGGCGGCGGCTGCTGGTGGTGCTGTTGGTGCTGGTGGTGCTAGTGGCTCAGTGGTGCTAGTTGTGGTGTGTATTAAAACGGTTTCCATGTTGCAAATGGTAGCGATCATCCTCCTCCAGCTTCCTCACCTTCGCCCATCATCCTCGCTTCGATCGCAGTGAAATTGCATTATAAATTAATTAGTCAACTATTTTAGCAGCACACCTGCGAGGGGCGGCAGGAGGCTGGGGAAACTCTCCCATAGACGGAGTTTTTCAGAACAAATCAGGCTGCTCAAACAGAAGGCTCCAAAGACGGACATCTCCGGGGGCTTTGGGAACATTGTGACCGGCTACCGAAGAGATTCCGATTCCCCTCAAACGAGGTTTCCAATGATTCGGAATGTGACTGCCGCTCATTATTTGTATTTAGCCATTTATTTCCCTAATGCTTTCCGTAAGCGAAATTTATTTCATACCATATTTAGATTTCTCTTCTTCATTTTCCGTTCTTGAAATAATTACTGAAATGATTGTTTTGTACTATTTATTTATTACTTTATTTTAAACGTTTTTAACTTTTAAGAAAAGTTTTTAAAATATTTTCCAATACTTATAATGCCCGTGTAAAGGTTATTATAATTTTAGCTTGCCGAAATTTGCTTCCTTTGCTTTTTAAACTTTATATTATTAAGATGTTTAATTGGGTAATTCTTTAGTCAATATTAATTTACAAATAAAGTTTGTCAGTGCTCTATTTTTCCTGAAAAAAAAATACATCAGTCGCGTTTAATTTTTTTGTAATTCTCTAGTTGGTGACAAGATACAAATTATATTTTAAATTTTATTTTTTTTTAATTCTTTAGAGACCCCGAAATAAGTTGTTTAATCTTCCCACATGTGCCGATTCATCTTGTCATCGGTGGCAATCACAGTAGTATTCTTCTGCGGCGATTAGGACATGCCTACTTAGTGACAGCCATTAGGCTAGTTGGCTATTAATGGAATATTATGTATTCATTTGGGCGTTATCATCGACACCTTTCCCACTTTTTACCACGCACATATGGAGATCGATGGGCGTGGCAAAGATGAGAGGTGGAGGTATCTAAATTTAGAGAGGGCATTCAAAGGGGCATTAATCAGTCGATTTGTCGGGATTCCTTGGCTCGGAAATAATTAAAACATTCTCTTTGATGGTGACGAAGAAAAACAAATCATGTCATAGGGTCGAGAGATCAGAGATCACGGCGTTAAAACAATAAGCCAAACAAAGCGAATGTGCAGTTAACTTAACGGTCGAGCGTGAAGAAAAACATAAATAATGTTTGTCAAAGAGCCCTAAGAGCTCTCATATTGAGATAAACAAATTTACAGTCGAGCATCGCTTTGTTGAACTATGTAAAATTGAAGACATTGCAGTTTGTAAAGGTGTGTTTTTTTTTAAATAATAAATATAAAATGACAACAATTGGAGACACCAAGTCCTACAAATATTACACTTTCGTAATATCGAAATTACTTTCTAGTCTCGCTTTCAGACTTGATCATTTGGTTATTTTGAAAAATATAATTTATAAATATAAAACAATGAAATGTATGTAATAAGGTAGACAATTATAGGCAGATTCCCCTGTGGATCGACGAAGATCTTGAACCGCCAATCGATTTCGTTATTCGACGCCCTGACACATGAACTTTGGCTATTAATGGAACACGAGCGAGAGTAAAAGAATGGCCCCCAAAAAGGGGAGGGGAGGGGAGGGCGGGGACGGGTTCGGAAAGTACCGTTGGACGGGCATCTTCCTCAGCAGCAACTTTTTTTTTTGGCTACTTGGGGGCTACTTCTGGCCCATTGTCACCCCGACGATTTGTGGTAACAATAGACAATTTGAAATCTTGATCGAACCTTTTGTTCGGTTCGTTTCGCTGTTCGTTGACATTTGTCACTATCGCCAGTTGGGAATATATAGAAAAGCACAATCAAATCGATTCGATACGATTAGCAACAACCTGTCTTATAACCATAACCCATCGTAATCGGCATTGCACCGCCCCTTTTCTATTTCGATGCCTCAATTGCTGTTTATTTTTGTTGATATCGACACATTCGCAGACGCTTTGTTTTGCTGACTTTTTTTTCGGGATTATATCATTCCAAAAGGGTTGTGGCTTTGTTTTCTCCTGAGCCTGATATATCTCATAGAAAATTGGTTTACCATTTCTTAGCTGATTTCAATATATCAATACATATGTATACTTTTGTGTTTTCCTATTTTTTGCAATCTATTTTTGGGCCTCTTTGTCCGCGGCTCTCGTTTTATGCAAAGTGCGTGAAGGTGACTGGACTCTGATATTTCTGCGTATCTACTTATCTCCGCCTCTCCACCACCCCACCAATATATAAAGGTATTTTCGGAGCCCTTTGGTTTGGGGAGGGGCGAGTGTGATTGGCCAGTTATTGGCTTTTTTCGATGGATAGCTGTTCTCTAAAAGTGGCTTTTTTAGTAATCAAAGTATTAAACCTCTAACAAACATTTTTGTAACTCCTTGAATTTTCTTAGTTATATCATTTTTCAATTGCTGGTATAAGTTTAATAATTGAAACCCTGGTTTAGCTTAAGTAATATCATAATTAATTTATTATCATCTGTTTGTAAGATATCATTTTAAAATATGGCTATATTTTTATGAATATTTCTTGCAACCACTTATTGAAATTTAATATCCTGCAATTTATTTCTTGCCACTTTTAACGGCGGATTTAGAAAATTGTGCCTGAAAATGATTTATTTGAATTTCCCTGCCTTGAATATGAGCTTACATAT